CTCGCGGACTTCTGGGACGAGTAAGTTGCAGTTCAAGTTACAGTTTTGAAACTCCCAGCTTCACGAGTCCTTCGGCCATCGGGGCAGCCTTCGACGTCGGCCGCACGCGCAGCGCCGCCGTCGGGGACGGCGTCGACGTCGCGCGCGCGCCGTCGCGGACCATGCTCATCCGGGCGAAGCGCTGGCGGCCGCGCACGGAAAAGGAGCGGGAGGCGCGCAAGCACCTGCCGCCGGGCCCCGCGGACTTCGTGTCGTCGTCGCTGCGGAACCTGCGCGACATCACGATCGCGCACGCGCGCGAGCGGCCCCACAACATGGTCGCCTTCCTCAAGAGCGACCAGGACCTCGTCGACGGGGCGCTGCGCTGCCCGCGCTGCCATTTGGTCGTCGCCGCCGACGAGCTCGACGCGCACCGGGGCTCCGCGACGTGCACCTGGTACGAGACCATGCACCGGCGCCGCGAGAAGCGCGCCGTCCGCGCCGCCACGGCGCCCGACGACGACGGCGGCGGCGACGACGACCGGCCCGCGACCGCGTCGCTCGCGGGCGCTTCCGTCGCTTTGGCGCGGCGGTCGCGGCGGCGGCCCGCGCGGGGGCGCCGGGGCGTCGCGGAGCAGGACTCCGTCGCCGTGGCCCTGACGCGCGCGCGGCGCATCCGCGAGGCCGCGCGGCCGTCGACGGTGCTCGACGCGGCGCCGCGCGCCGCGGCGCCGCGGCCGCGGCCGCGCGACCAGAGCAGGAAAAAGGGTGATTCAACGTCTCTTCAACATGAGTGTTCCGTCGTTCCAAGGAAAGGATCCACGCGTCGAGACCGCTCCGAGAGATGATCGCGCGTCCAAAAATTAGCCGAAACGAGCGGAAAATGACCGAGATCAAAGTTGGCACCCTTTTCCTGCCCAGGTCGACCGTCGCGGTCGCGGTCTCGGAGTGCAGCATCTGCCTCCAGCCCCTCGGCGGCACGGCGGGCGGGCTGGCGGCGGCGCTCCACTGCGGCCACCGTTTTCACCGCGTGTGCATCCTGCGCTGGGCCATGCACGGCGCGGACCGCGCGGACTGCCCGAACTGCCGGAAGGCGTTCCACCGGACGGACCTGGGCCAGCGGCGGCCCGACGTCGAGCTCCCCGCGGGCTGGGTCGCCGGCGGCGACCCCGTCTACTACTACAACTACGCGACGGGCGAATCGAGCTGGACGCCGCCGTTGGCGGTCGGGGGGGGCGAATCGGTGACAGGGTGCCGGATGTCTAATTATGAATGACGAGAAACTACCTCCCCGAAGCGATGCTGGCTGCTAGCTCCTCGAAGTGAAGCTGGCTGGCGAGGGCTTTGGCCTGGAGGTCTTCGGCGGCTTTGGCCTGGAGGTCTTCGGCGGATGCTCCCGGGTGTCCCTCGTTCTCCTCGCGGCTTTCCAACAACCCCAAAGATTTCAAGTAACAGATAGAATGAAGATGACCTTGCGCAGCAGCCTGCCGAAAGAAAAAAAGTGAATCTTCCTTCTGGAGCGTCAAACCGAGGTTCCATTGAGCCTTCGCATGGCCGCGTCGCGCGGCCATCAAATCAAAGCGACATGCCTTCTTCCGGTCCAACTTGACACCGCGTCCGTTATTGTATTGAAACGCAAGATTCATCATAGCGTCTACATTTCCGAGTTCCACAGCGCGCGTGTAGAGCTTCGTGGCCTTCTTCTGAGATTTCACGAGGCCGTACGAACCGTCGCGGTATGCGTTGGCTAGATGACAGCCCCGCGGCCCCGCGCGGGCGCGACGCCCTTGGAGATGTCGCGCGGGGCGGGTGGGGAGGCTGGGGGGGGGGCTTGGGACGCGTACCTCCGGCCGCTGGTGTCGGACACGTTCATGAGCGTCCGCGGCTTCCTCAGCCTTTTCGTCCTCGAAGCAGCTGGAGCGTCCTCGAAGGACGTCTCCTCGACGGGCAACTCCGGGAAGTCGAGGAGCCCGTCGTCGGACCCCGCGAGGTCCGCGAGGTCCTCGTCGTCGAAGAGCGAGAGCCCCCCGAGGCTCTCGCGCGCGCTCGAGACACGGTCGGTCACGGACACGCTCGGGCGAGAGGGGGAGGGGCCCGGGGAGGGCTGCTCCATGCCCCACGGCACCAGGCCCGGGGCCCAGTCCTCGTCGCCCGCCATGCGGGGTGGGTTGGGAACCGGCTGTCAGTGCGCTTCTGAGCTCTCACAGCCACTCGATCCCGCATACGTATGCGTTTAACACAACGCCGGAAGGATATATATCACGAATAACTAGAGTTAAGATTTAAAATAAGGGGGGTCGACGATGGGCCCCTACTTCGACGACGCCTCACAGAGCGACGGCAGAGAGAAAACATGACCAGCAGAATGCAGGAGGCGGAAGGGTGACTCCACTCAGAGTAGACCGCTCGAGGCTGCGTCGCACCGTCCTCGGGCTGCGCCCTCGGACGGTACTCCTTGCCCCTCGGGTCTACTCTTCACTGGAGCAGCTCGCCAAAGTTTTGCAGGAGGCCTCGCAGGTCCTAGCCCCTCTCTAGTTGTGGGTAGCGCGAGGACTCCTCGAGACTTAATGGGAGATTCTGCAACTTACTCAAAGGAGAATCCTAGAACGTGGCCGGCGGCGGCTGGGCTCGCTTGATGAGCTCGGACGCGCCGGCGCGCTCAGTTGCCGCCGCGGAGGCGGAGGACGAGGTGGAGCGTCGACTCCTTCTGGATGTTGTAGTCGCTGAGCGTGCGGCCGTCCTCGAGCTGCTTGCCCGCGAAGATGAGGCGCTGCTGGTCCGGGGGGATGCCCTCCTTGTCCTGGATCTTCTGCTTCACGTTGTCGATCGTGTCCGAGGGCTCGACGTCGAGCGTGATCGTCTTCCCCGTGAGGGTCTTGACGAAGATCTGCATGCCGCCGCGGAGGCGGAGGACGAGGTGGAGCGTCGACTCCTTCTGGATGTTGTAGTCGCTGAGCGTGCGGCCGTCCTCGAGCTGCTTGCCCGC